TACTCTTTTACCAACAAATAGTGGGATTGACTGTCACATTATAACGCCCCCACGGCTGAAAGGGCGAGCGTGTTTGGTGTCAATTTCTGAACTTCTTAAAATGTTATATAAAAAAACAACGTTATGTAAATAATTTAAACTTTTTAAAACTATTCTTACGGGAAAATGTAGGTGTTCAACATTGAACTTATGGGGTCCTTGGTAAAACTACAAACGATCGGCTCTAGTAAGAATTTTTCTAAGGTTCTGCTGTGGGGCCAATGGCGCAAATTTTTTACGTTTACCAAAATAAGTTCTCACATACGTTTTGGCACAGTTAGACTTTAAATTACACAATATATGTTTCTTTATTTAAAAATAAAACATAGTAATAAGTGACACAGTTAATTTTAAAAGTTAGGATGCATACATTGACTGTAATGCATTCCCACTTGTTAGATTCTCCTATAAGCTGCTCTCTCTCTCCCATTAGGAAAGGATCGCTGTGAAATGCTTAATGGAAATTAACTGATTAATAACTGTAGATGGCGCTAAAAACATGTCAGTTTTAACGTTAATTATAAAGAGCAGGGTGATCTTAACAACTATTATTCTAGGAAAATTGACAAGATGTAGCAGGCTTCAGTTATTAGAGCTAAAATACACGTTTTTGGGGAAAAAAAGTAACAAAAAACAAACAAGAAAACTGAGAACAAGAAGTCGGTCTATCAGCCCCAATCTTCAATTTTACAAGATCGTATCCACAATCGGCTATTTAATACAAGAAAATGTAGTGTAAATGAAGTCAACAACTACGATAGAAATCCTGCAATAACATTTGTATTTCAAAATCTTACAATTTACATGTAAATGTATTTAGTTACAAAAAAATTATTTATTCTTGTTCAGTATCGTTCCAACAAATGTTCACATGATAAACGACAAATATAAATTTGCTGTAACGGACATTTTAAATCATGTTAGATTACAACAGATACACGTCTTCAAAAGCATTCTCCACCCAAAATTTGTTACTGGGAACGGATTTGTACGGTTGTAAAAGCCTTCACTGCGAATAAGATTTATGTAGTTCATTCTTAAGTCTGAGGCTCTAAACCCAAAACAACCCGTCACAGCACAGTCGCTATAACCAGTCAAAACAAATACATATATAGATGGCTAATGCTCATATTAAAAGCTTTTAACTGCGTATGGGAACAAGAAGCTCACCAAACCGCGTCTCATAATTTACCCAGACAGAATGTGAGCATCGTAACTCAGTCTGACCGTCCATCACTTACGTAATGTGTTCAACATAGCACGTGCACGCTCATTGCAGCTGGAGATCCACGCGTTACTCTTATGCGCACATCGTGTCCAAAGTACCAATCGCCATACAGTTTAGTTGTATTTTAGGAATCGTTTTTCTTAGACCAACATATTACTTCACGTTCTCAATCTCAAGGATAACAAAACAGCAATACTTTACGGTATTAATATCTAACCATAACAATACAATATAGTGTTGGTAATTAACAATAACAACACAATATAGTATTGGTAATTAACAATAACAATACACTACAGTATTAGTATTTGTTTATTCGTTTGTTTTGTTTGTTTGGAATTAAGCACAAAGCTACACAATGGGCTATCTGTGCTCTGCCCAACACGGGTATCGAATCCCGGTTTCTAGCGTTTTAAGTCCGTAGACTGGGGGGGGGCAGTATTAGTGATTAACCATAACAATACAATAGAGTATTTGCAAATAACCATTACAATACACTATATTGTTGGTAACTAAACATAAAGCAGGAGAGCATGACATATAAAATGATATTAGCTCGAAATAATATCGTATTTCCACCACACTTAACACAACACTCTCACACACAGATATATATTCAGGCTACAAAATGTTGAATCATTTTCCTTATCCTCATCGTCAAATAACATTGTCCACTTCATCAAGTGCCCTACAAATTCATATTTCTTAAGCTTTGGTCTAGCTTCAAATCAATGTTAAAAATATAGCTGTAATGAATGTTATAATTTAAGCATAAAGTTTGGCGACAAACTTTTTACATCTCATTACTTACAACCAGCATAATTTGTACATAACGAAAGAGAAAAAAAAACAAATATAAACACGCAAAAAAAACAACGTTACCGCAAGTAAAAGACAGATAAATAGAACTAGGCAAGAAGAGTAAATTGTGCCTTAGTTGGAGAAAAGTATCAGAAAAACTACACTTCATACAGCGGCAAGGATGCATCGTCTATCAGAATTAATCTGTATTAGTAAGCTTTATATTGGGAAAAAAAAACAATGAACAAAAAAATTACAAAATTAAGAGCATATATAGATGCCCCAGCCTAACGTGCCGCTATTATAACTACCACTAATTTTCAGCAGTTAATTATGGAAAGTAAAACAGAATTACAAAAATAACAACTAAAGCAGGTTATTAAAACGGACCCATGAAGGGGATGAAAAGCAAAACTTATCTTTTGAACACTTAGTATTCCAGCTTCTATAATGGTGATTGTCAAAAACTTACTCTTTAAGTAGTATATATTAAATAAGTATATGGGTGTTTTGGGTATAAGATTCTTATACAGTGTGTCCGTGACTTGTTGGTATTAAATTCTACGATAAATAAACATCACGTACTCCGCTTCTTTTAAAATAATATATTGAAAACAAGATAAACGTATGTAAAAAAATTCTTTACACTATGTGTATCATAGTTGTATTTTAAATACTATACAGTTATCTTCTTCTTGTTAAAAGTCCACTTAGGCCAATTCAATTGCTTTAGAATTCAGTTGACAAGCTGAACTATTTTTCTATATTTCTTTCCTAAGCACTATCAGTGTATAATTCACTTATTCCTTTTCTCCTCTCTATCTCTTTTCTCTTTTATCACAACAGTATCGGTTTGTAATTCACTTATGCTGCCGTTGAGTTACCGCAGTTGTATCCTGAACTTCCGATACTTGTCTGCTTTTTCGTATTTAGGCCTACTTCCAATAAACGTCTGCTTTTCGCATATAGGCCTACTTTGAAATAATCGTCTGCTTTTTGTCAGAGTCCACACAGGCAGGCTCAATTGTTTTGGAACACTCTTTGACGAGATAAATTATTATCCTAAAATATCAGAAAACTTTTAATTTCACTTTAACATATCAACCCTTAGGCTATTAACTCCTATGACAGTTAACTTTATGTTTTCTAACCTTTCTCTGATTGTAACTCTCTTTCACTTGGCTTTACTTTTGGTTCTCTACCTGCTATCCGGGTCTCTCGTCTGGTCGCTGCTATTTATATCTCTCACTGATGCGTTCTAGAAATCTACGTAGCCTCAACATCAATAACTTACAAACACAACTTCGAATAATCGTCTTCTTTTAACTCTCTTATTATGAAAAAACTAAACTAAACAATCATAAAATATTAACTCACAAAATAAATTAATTAACACTACCTACACTAAACAGTTTTTATATCTGACAGTCATATACCTGTACGAATAGTATATAAAACCAAAGATATTTAATTTCAAAAGACCTACTATTAAACTAGCCATTTTTAACACAAACACACACAATAAGCCTAAACGGGATAAATGTTCAATACGTCTTTGAAACTATTGTTTTGAGGGTTTATGACACAAGGCAACTTAAAGCCATCTATAGCAAACAAGATATTCAAAACAAATTAAAGCAGTAATGTCATAACAAGTAAGAGTAACTGATAAAAGCCAATGTTAAAATTTGAGTACCAGTTTATAAGAAAATAGGTTTTAAAATTTTAAAAACGTTGTGAAATTGGACAGTGTCACCATTCCCAATGGCATAGACCAACGTAAAAGGCACACTACCTAAAAAAAATTATTTAAAAATACTGCTGATGCTGAATATCAAAATCAAAAACAGTATATAGTTCACAATACATGGAGTGTCACACTTCTCAGAGAATGATTGGTCACTACCAAGTAACAGATAACTGATGTACATATAAAAACTATGTTCAATGAGAAGCCATGCTAAGACAAGTTCCTTCCAACAGACTTTACAGAAATAGACACAACAAGCTTAATTTGGAAGATATTGTTAGTCTACTACTCATCTCAAAGCTTCTACTATCTGACAAGAAGTTCTTCCTAGATATCATTTATAAAATCCATGCATGAAATAATGGCAGAGACTAATTAGTAACAGAAGAGGCTCATTTTCCTGGATTTTTACATAGTCAGGGACCTAACAAAACTGAAAAACCAATGATAAAAATGTAGGTAGGCTAGTTTCCTATGAGCATACGAAAGAACGCAATATAGACTATTATCAAGGAAACTCTGAGCCAGTAATGATTAAGTGAATCACTGTAAACAGTGCACTGACTGCGCTGCATAGCTTGCATGGGATCTAAAGCAAGTGAGAATGCAAATAAGCTCTGCACTGAAAATGGGAGCCTTAGAAGATTTCTGTTCACAATTACAGGATCACATGGCTGAACCAATCGAGTTACTTGAGTTAGAACCATCTGCAAAAATAAGCACAAAGGAGAAATACCTCTAACAGTGTTTAGTAAAAAGAAGTCAGATTTCCAATCACAAGTTCCTGTTATTTTAGACAACTGATGGACAGATCACAGGTTGGAGTGGTAACAAGTCATGGTTGAACAGATTGACAATCAAACACAGCAACTGCCTCAAATTACTGGATCTGAAGATGGGAAAGATAAACAGCAGACCATTTGCACAAGGATTGCCTAATGACGCATAAAAATACAATTCCAAGTGGGATGTTGGTATACCTTAATAACATACTGGAAGGATAGTAACGTGTAGCAAACACGGAGTGGAGGTTCCAAGCATTCACTGTATAAACTCTCAACTGGAGAAGTCAGAAGGTCCCTAAGCCAAATTAATAACTTTGACGATACACAGAGTTGGGCATTATTAATGCAATATCCTTGGTCAAAGTACACAAGGGACGGCTAGCAGTGTAAGACTTGAGGGAAGGCAGATAGTCATCACCACCCACCGCCAACTCTTGGGCTACTCTTTTGCCAACGAATAGTGGATTGATCGTCACATTATAACGCCCCCACGGCTGAAAGAGCGAGCATGCTTGGTGGGACGGGGATTCAAACCCGCGACCCGCAGATTGCGAGTCGAGTACCCTAACCACCTGGCCATGCTGGGCCAGTGTCGTAAAGAAGTAGTTAATTAAGACAACTGGCCTATAATTTGAGGGGCTCTTAGGATACTTCTTTGGCTTTGGAAAAAGTGTAACCAAATCTTAATGCCATAAGCATAGAAAGATCTCCTCTTGCTAGAGATGGTTAACAAAAAAAAAGTAAAATAGAACAGTTAGGCAGAAGAGAGATGAATACATATTGAATATTCTGGTCTTACAGGTGTATTATAAAACCAGTGTAACATTGATAGGCATTCTATTTCCATAAATAGCTGGTTACATTCTTCCTGGCATCAGAACAAACATGAAGATAAAGGCTCATAGCCTCTGTCTTTACGACATGGAACTCGTGAGAGCAATTGAAGAAACTAGAATGCCTCGCAGTGGATACAGCAGACAGTCTAATGTGGCTTTGCTCTAGAAAAGAAACAAACCAACATCTTGAAATGCTATGAGATTTAAATGAGTGGGGTATCTAAAAGATATCCCAAGTCCTATTCAAGACTCAAGGAAACTGATAGAAATTAAATAGTTTTGCATGAAAAATGGTATCGAGACACATTTACTAGACTCATTAATAACATGTTATCAAGCAATGACAGAACCAAGTTCGAGTAGAACAGTAAAAGTTAGCCATGGCCTACTACAGCTTTTAACATGTCATAAAAGTCAGATAGCACTGGCCTCCCACTCTTGCTTGAAGTATAGAAGAACTGTCAAATCAACAAAGTCTTAGCAAAGTTTATGAATGTTTCCTGTAGGGTTTGTAAAAATAATTCAGTCTTGATGTATTCTAGATTTGAACAAAACTTTCAAAGTTCCAATAAACAGAAGTGGCTACAACTACCTAGAAATAGGTATGGGTCTAAATGGGGACTCTTCAAATTTGTATTATTCATCGATAATTTCTAGCCCCTGGTGAGCTTATCAAGCTTCACAGGACTAGTCCTGGAAGTCATAGTTTGAATATTCTCATCAATGTACAGTAATGATAGAGAGCTTTGTCAAGTTTGTTTTGGTTTGAATTTCGCGCAAAGCCACACGAGAGCTATCTGTGCTAGCCGTCCTTAATTTAGCAGTGATAGACTAAACGAAAGGCAGCTATTCAACACCACCCACCGCCAATTCTTGGGTTACTTTTTTACCAACGAACAGTGAGATTGGCTATCACATTATAACGCCCCCATGGCTGAAAGGGCAAGCATGTTCGGTGTTGGGGATTCGAATCCGCGACTCTCAGATTGTGAGTAGAGTGCCCTAACCACCAGACCATGCTAGGTCCAAGCTTTGTCAAGATATCTACAGGTTAGCAGGCAGTGACTAATTGGTGAAGACTTCAATGCTCACTAGTTCCACATGCTGACAGAGAAATGAGGATCAAAAGAGAGATATATAATGACTCAGACTCACGTGTCAATAACGCCTTCCCATACGGGGATAAAAAGACTGAATGGTATACTTAGTATCAATCTACATGTTCAGGTGAGAGTGATGCAGCTAAGTGGCAACAGATGTTAAAAGCAAAATAGAGATATATAATGACTCAGACTCACGTGTCAATAACGCCTTCCCATAGGGGGATAAAAAGACTGAATGATATACTTAGTATCAATCTACATGTTCAGGTAAGAGTGATACAGCTAAGTGGAAACAGATGTTAAAACCAGCCATGAAATGGTTGAATGGAAATTTAATGTTTCCTATCGCATTTGAAACGAAATCGTTTTAAAGTGCAAATGTTTCTCAGACTTACTGGTTTGGGAAAAACTATTTTCCTTAGTTCGAGGTATAAAACTTCGTTTTGAACTTAGTGCCCTTAGTTGTTTTACTATATGGAAGAATTATAGAATACTTTTCTCTTGGGAGAGGGCAGATGACATTATACAATACGAATCATCTTCTATCAGACTAAATGTTCCATAGTCTGATATCAGATTAAGCTAAAACAGCTACAGCAGTCTTGTTCTAATTTATTTACTTTTCACATAAGACCCCGTTAAAATCAGTAGTATAGCTGTAATTTCCTCGAAAGGGGGTCAAAGGCCGCCTGGAGGAGTCACCTAATTTAAGCACTCGCACCATTATACAGTAGCGTGTTTTCTGTCAGTCAGTAAGTAAACACTAACATGACGTCAAACAAGGAATGCTTAACGTTGATTTGTTTGTTTGTTTATGAATTTCGCGCAAAGCTACACGAGGGCTATCTGCGCTAGCCGTCCCCAATTTAGCAGAGTAAGACTAGAGGGAAGGCAGCTAGTCATCACTACCCACCGCCAACTCTTGGGCTACTCTTTTACCAACAAATAGTGGGATTGACCGTCACATTATAACGCCCCCACGGCTGAAGGGGCGAGCATGTTTGGTGGGACGGAGATTCGAACCCGCGACCCTCAGATTGCGAGTCGAGTGCCCTAACCACCTGGCCATGCTGGGCACCTTAACGTTGCAATTTGTGCTGTCATGACATCAGTAATACGAGCGCATGCCATGAATTACGGAAAAAATTATGCACTCTGTACGCTAAAACACAGCATGACATATGAACTTCAAAAGCAAGAATTAAAAGTATTTTTAACACACACGGTTCAAAAGTGAGAAGCATAATGTTGAGGTAATGGAACACGAACCATCGTCTGATTCACGCGCTAACCAATAGGCTAAGCTCAACACCTATACGTAAAGCTCAACCTGTTATATAATACTAGGTTTTATCTTATATAACCTTAAAAACACAGATTTGTTAGTATAAATTTCGGAGTTTTCCCGTTTAGCTATTATATATAGCTGCTTGACCGATATTCAGATATGTGAGCTATAGGATGCTATACATATATATTGTCCATCTGATGAATCTTTTTGGAGATTTTATTTGGTCTGGGAAGTTCTTGCGTATCAGGTATTTTGGTTTAATCTAAGTAAACCAAGTGATAAACTTCATATCTGTTTCTTAAAAAGCAAACTGCAAAGAACTAACACATATTTCTCTTGTCTGAAACTAATTTCTCTGCTCACGTATATTTAATTCTACCGTGTGCGTTTGTGTTTCTTTAAATGGGCGTTGTTATATTAGATATACAAAAAAATTAAGGAATCATTACGTAACTTCGCTATTTTAAATTTCCCTATCTTCAAGTTAGGTTTCGCTAATTTTGTAAAACAGCTCCATGACGGGTACTTTTCAAAATTTAACCTCTGCATCCACACAAACATTTATAACATGCGAAACCCTAATGAATATTTTAGCATGCCAGATTAAACTTTTATGTGATTTGCGAATACGATTTTGGCAATAAAAGGTACAACTTATTGTACCAATCAGGAACAGACCAATAAGATGGCTTTTTTTTTTTTATTTGCTCTGATCCAGAGCTGCAAGAGTAATTTTTGGTCCAGTATTGCTTTG